CCCCAGCTCGCTGGCGTGCCGCAACGACGTGCTGCGCGCGCTGGTGCTGGGCAAGGCGCAGGCGGCGGTGCTGCCGGTGCCGGCCGCGCGGCCGCCGCACGTGCTGAAGCTGCGGGACGTGGGACTGACGGAGCTGGGCGACGCGGTGCCGGCCTCGCGTCTTGCTTGCTTCGTTTCGACATCGACACCTCGGTCGCCGCAGTCTTTGCTCGACTTCACTGACGAAGCTGTCGCGGTGCTTTACGACTTACCGTCGGATGATATCTTCGCTGTCTTGCGAGAGGTGACTGCCAATAAATCTTTAGGGTAGGTACCGTGACTACGTGTATATGTGTGAGTAGTATTCATTCATACATTCTCACAATCTTTCGTATTTTATAACAAACATTATTAATAGGATTATGTATAGTAAGTAAGTAGAATACATGGATCAGTTGACATGGTGTAGAAGTTATGAATATGAGGAAACATATGAATGAACATAACATAATAATTCTATTTAAATAACTACGTAAGTATAGCCTTGGTTGCCTCTCATATTACAGCAACTGCTTTCAGTGCTCCTCGTTAGAGGAGAATAGAATTCGTTGTTTCAGTGGCTGTAATATTAAATCTCCTTCTCTTACACCTCCCTATAGAGGAACATCTTCCATGTATCTATATATCTATGCTCCTGCAGTCGGACCGCATTTTTGTAAAGACAACGACAACTCGATGTCCATTCATTAATCATTATGATGTCAACGGAGAAACCTCAACACACCAGATTAACGGGTTCCAGGGGCTCCGGCTCGAAAAGCAAGAGTAGAGACGGGGCGGTTCTTAGTCAGTAAGAGTCTGACACTCTCTCTCACCTCACCCAAGGCTGAAGAAGTCATTGATGATGAAAAAAAACGTATGTACAGTACATAGTATTTTATTGTTATTTGCAGATTTGAGCACTTGGAGTCACACTGCTTTAATTTTAATTCGACCCCCGAGTGGTGCACTGCCGGGGCGAAGCCATGCGCCAGTCTGGTCACCGACAACGAGAGCGACGCGCGCCTGCTGGCCGGCGTCGTGCGCGCGCGCCGCCTGCGCGCCCGCGTGCTGGCGCCCTGCGCGCTGGCGCCCCCGCAGCTGGCGCGCTGGCGCCGTCCGCCGCCGCGCGCTCTCTTGCTGTGCTCGCGCACGCCCCCGGGCAA